TAGATTTTTTTGTCTTTAGAATGTCGTGACTTGAGATTGAATATTAAATTTATAGTTAATGGTATAATTAATTTTACCAGACAATTGCTAACCGATACATAATATTACTAGATCTAAAATCATCTTAATCATTAAATTGCCAAATCAACAATTAATAATTTTTATGTAAAATTTATACCTTATAAGATCTTAACTTATTAGTATAATAATATACTAATTGAAGCTAACGGTTTGGTATTAGGGAATCCGAGAATAATAATTACCTGATCTGATAGCTAGATTTCTTGGTTATGAATCTCGTCCAATGCCACAGAGCAAAACTTCCCCTATAAACTTTTGAAAAAAAATAAATAAAATAAAATAAAAATAAAAATAAAAAAATAGAAAAAATTAAGCGTTAATCTAAAGTTAATCTAGGTTTTAGCATATCAAAATACTGTGCATTGATGAAAAATTTTTTTAAAAAAATTCCTAGGGCTGTTCTGCTTCTGCTGGAATGGCTTTAAAATGGGCACAGTCAACAAGAAAGAGTTATTGTGACACTTTAAATTATTAATATCACACTTTTTTAATATAATTATATATTATACTCTTATTTTATATTTTTTTAAAAAAATTTGGTTTTTTAATAAATTAAAATGTATAATTGTCAATTAAGATAGAATGATATAATTTTAGTAATTGAAAATATGAGAATATTTCAACTCTTTTTTCACTTTTGAAGTGAAACGAGAGCAATTGTATTATAGAGTAGGCAGATCCATGTGATGAGAAATTGTCTTTGCCTTGATTTTTGTGGTAAAAGCTTATTTTTAGCCCTTCACCACCTTACTAAATTTAAGGATTTTAACTACTCACTTTATATTATAAAATTTTTAGCCCCTCACCTCACTAGATTTGTTGGTTCTAACCTATCAACTTATATTATAATACTTTTAGCCCTTTACATATTTAAATTGAAGAAAATAGCCCTCACTTTATAACATTTTGTTAGTTTTATTAGCTAACTGTTAACTTTATTAACTAATTGTTAATTGATTATTAACTGATAAAAACTTTTTTTTAGATAATAAAATTAACAGAACTAACTTAATAATATTTCGTTCATTCTATTAACTAACTATTAGTTGACTGTTAGTTGACAAAAACTTACTTTCAACTAATAGAGTTAACAATCAGTATAAAATTAGGGTTATTTTCTTCGATTTTAATAGATAAGGGATTAAAACCTACAAATTTAGTAAGGTGAGGGGTTAAAAATATTATAATATAAAGTGATGGACTAAAACTTTCAAATTTAATAAATTGAGGGGCTAAAAATAAATTTTTGTCGATTTTTACCTGCCCCAGCCACTCCCAATGGTAAACACTGTCGACTTAAATTATTGCCAAGGAGGGAGACCCAACCCAACTATTCATCATCTTCCCCTTGGGAAGAGTTTGGTTTTAGGAAAGGTTTCCTCTTAAATTGGGAAAATTTTAATGCTATTTCATGTAGAGGATATTTACTAATTACCTTATTACAATGAGTGTTTTCTTTTTGGCCTTTCCCTTATTACAATGATAAATAGAGGATAAAATCTACAATTTTACACCAGTTTCGTCCTTCATCACAATTTTAGAAGCTTAAACTCCTTCCTCAATTTTCACCTTTTGTCAACAACATGGTGAGCTTTTCCTAATGAATAAATGTATGTTAATGTTTTACTAAACATGAAAATTTTAATTTGAACAAAACTTCCTTAATTACAAAATTTTCTGACTTTCTAACCAAATTTTTCGAACAACTTTCTCAATGCATATCTAAAGTTCCCCATCCATGGTTTGACAATTCGCATGATCATGGAAAAAAATGTACATCTGGAGACTTTCATCTAGTGTATCGCTTTCTTTTTGTCAACCATGGCGCTTGGGGAAGATGTTTATTCACATGATTAGTTGGTTTAATTTAATAAACAGTTTAATAACTTTTATATTTTTTTAGTTTTGTTTATTATCTTTAAATATTTTCAGATTCATCTATTATCTTTTACTTTTATTTCAGTTAAATCTACTCTGTTAACTTTTTTAACAATAATTTCACTCTATTTGATCAAATTGATTTTCAATTAGATCTTTTTTGCCAATTTTTATTTTTTGAAATTAATTTTGAGATAAAGTTAATTTTATAAGAATGATAAGTTCTTTTTCATTGTTTAAGAAATTATAATTTTTATCACATACTACCTTAGTTTTCCACTTTAACAACTTTACTTTGAAGTAGAAACCACAATTATTGACATGTTTAATAACTTACACAGTTTGTCATGGATTACTCTGCTGGTTGAGACTATTCTATTTTAATTTTGATTTAACTTTTTTATTATTTTTTTGTTAAAACTATGGAAGTTTTGTATTGTTGACTATTCTAAAATATATAAACTATTTAGTAAGAAAACAAACTTTTTATATTAAAATAAAATTAAACTAATAGTTATAGATCAATAATTGAATTAGGCCTGCGATAGTGATACCATGTGGCAATTCTTGTGTAAAACTTCTATGAAGTATTTTATTAAAGGTTTTTTAAACATGTGTTTTGAGAATTATGATTATTGCATTTTTTGTTATTAATTTATAAGACAATGATGTAGATATTATTAATTTAACATACTATATAATATATTTGTTAAAAATTATTATTATTTAATTTAAAATTAAAAATAAAAAAATTGAAAATTACAAGTTTTAATAAATTAGTTGATGAGTGTCAATAAATTTATTGAATTAATAGATATCAATGAGTATGTTGGATCATAAGATTTATCAATTATTTTCTTAATTTATATAGAAGTTATAAACATTAATTTTTGTTTAATTAGTTGGTTAAGTAAAATCATACATGCCACGGTATAAGAAAACAAAAGTAACTTTTATTTTGTTTATGTAAATTAATAGTAAAAAAATACATATATTAATAACAATTTTAACCTACTTAAAAATACCCTTACTCTAATTATCTATTCTTATTGTGAATGGTCTCAAAACCTTGCCTCGTTCCCTCAACTTTTGACTACTACCACAAACCTACCTCTTTTTATTAATTTCAAAATCTTTTATTACCTAAAAGTTTAACTTTTTCTCAATTTAAAATGAAAATTGCTTCTACTTTAAATATTCAAGGATTTTAAAAATGCCACATGATTTACTTTATAACCACGTGAAAGAAAAGAAAGAAATAAGTTGAATGAATTTTCCTTTTTTCTTTTTTATGCTATGAAGTGGGGTTGATAATTATTTTCCTTTTTTTAGTTTTCACACATGGTGTCAACAAAAGATATTAGCACTCACTAATTAAAATTTTAAATTAAAATTATTAATTTTTTT